GATTTGGCGCCTTACACCAGACTTCTGGAGCACACAGCACGCGTTGACTCCCGAACTTTCTCAGTCGCTTTGTAAAAAAGCCATAACTCTGAGACGTCATGCCAGTAGCGAGGCGTTCCTTCCGTAGTAGGCATAGTAGTAAGCAACATTCGTCGTGGGGCAATCGCTGACCGGTTATGTCAAGTGTGCTAACCTTGATTGGTCGCTTGCCTGGAATGTTCTGCCTTCATTGTCCTTGGGCGTCCTTAATATGCCAATATGTCTCGACGCACAGTCGGAAGGCGCTCCTTTCAGGCTGCTCGTGCCGCAACGTCCGTATCGTGCTTTCTGTCCTGATCAGGTCAATTCGACGAAAGCGTGCATGACGAGCAGCTACGCCTGGGCGTGCAGACCGAATGCTGAAACAGGCAAATTTCGCGCCCGCCCGGTCGCATGATCCACTTCTATTTTCTATCTATTTCACCACGTTGCTTCTCACATGGCGACCAACTCAACCTGCAATCAGCCTTGCAAAAGATCAAAGGCTTCCACATCTGCCTATCATACCACATTCGAGCGATACTTGCGGTACGCTATAGGACGAAATACTGGGCATATCAGAGTCTATGGAGCTCGCATTCGCATCAGGACTGGTTGTGGAAGCTCTATGTTTTCACATCATTGGCTAACAGCTCGGGCTAGTCTCTCAGCCCACAGCGTCGGCGTCCAGCTGTTCGGTTGTTAGAGCGCCCTACGAGCATCGAACCAATCATTGCCTGCAACGCGGGCACTTGTCGTGCCTCTTCCGACACTAAGGTACAAGAAACAGGGACCAAAGCTTGAATGTCGCGGGTTCTCGCTGCTGGCCTGAGAGTCTCGCTGCCTATGTTTCTGAGCTTTGACGAACACGATCTTTTTACCATGTGTAACGGCTGGAATTTTCTGTTCCGATGTTAGCTCTTGGAGGTACAGCATAAGTCTACTAGTGCGCAGGTAATACAGATATTCATTGAGATGTTGACACTTGAAGCATGAGCGAAAAGATCTCGACCAGGCGACACATCGTCTGTGTTGATACCCCTAATGCAAGTAATCCTTTGTCAGGCGCCTCAAATTCCAAGAATGCCAGCACTATCTCGAGAATCGCATCCATCGTGAGGTCTGGACAATTTATCGATGGCAATGGCCGAGTCACAGTTCAGACAGTGCAGTACTATCAGCCTATCCCACAGGCCACAGGCAAGGAAGCCTCTGGCAAATGGAGGAGTAAAGCAGTGTCACCATTCGAACAACGGATACAAGATGTGGTGTTAGATCTCGTCCAGAAGTTGGAAGACCCTGCTGATGAGATCTTCCTGTTTGGCGCAGGCTACGGGGCAACCACTGTTCTTGCCGTTGCTGGGATACTGCATCACATGGGCATACCAAAGCCTGGATACGTGGCCGACTTCCCTGAGCTGTACATGAATGTATTGGAGCTAATAGAAGCACGGCGGCAGGATGATAGTCAGAAAGGGCACAAAGCCTTGACATATCTGCGAGCTCGTACCGACGGCGTGCCTAACATCAGGTTTGTTGGCATATTCCAGGCAGTGACGACCAATGGGTGGGATAAGCCGCATGACACATCTGTCGTACCTTCAATCAGGAACTTTCGGCATGCGATGGCGCTCAACGAGATTGGCGAAGGTAATGACATCAGTCTACCTGGGACTCCTACTCCTAGAGAAATGGAGGGAAGGACTTTCATTCAAGCATGGTTTCTTGGCTTCTACACGAACGTGTTAGGTGGCAACACCCAGGACGGGCTGGCACTATATCCTCTGCAATGGATCCTCATAGAGGCTATGCTGCAGGGACTTTGTGTCTCTTTCGACGTGCAAGATCAGCGCGGTGCATCAATGGAGAACCCACTTGCATTGGCTTTCCCTCAGTATGCTGGAGGTATGCCAGATTTGAGTGGATCCGAAAAGATACAATGGCAAATTCGGTACGTCAACAATATCCAAGTCAGCATGTTCGATCTACAGAGCTTGCACGCGCCCAAGAACAACGCCGAAGAGGCATTGCATGCAATACACTTCCAGAACGAGGGACGCCCTGCGTTTACTATGCGGAAGAAGATCGAGCTGATAGGATGGAAGGAGGACCAACCATATGGCACGATAATTCACCCTTCGGTATTCTGCTTGCTGGACCGTAATCAATCATGGTACCAGCAGAAACGGTTCAAACGCTATGCGAAGCTTTTGGCAGATTTTGAAGCGAATTGTATGCGCGGAAATTCTGAGGAGATGCCGCCTTGGATGCAAGACTCGCAATTGCTCGCGAGTGGTGTCAAAGCTTTCCGTATATTGGTCTGTGGTAAGACCGGTGTTGGAAAGTCGACTTTGATCAACAAGGTCTTCGGTGTCGAGATGACTGAAGAGTCCAACACATACGCTCAGGGTAATCATGATATCAACCAAGCATTTGAGTCGCCCAACCATCCAGGCCTACTCATACACGACTCTCGAGGATGGCAAGCTGGCAGCGACCAGGAGCTTGACCTTATTGCACAGTTTCTGAGACACCGAGCATTTCAGAAAGATCCGGCAGAAGCGTTGCATGTTATCTGGTAAGACCCCTCGAGTAACCGCGCTTTCGTACTAATGGATCGTCTAGGTTCTGCGTCGATTCCGATGTCAGTCGAATCGAAGAAGCTGACAAGCGAACGTTCGAGACGATAGCACAATATTCGAACAATGTACCTGTGTTCGTGATCGGTACGAAGAAGGACAAGCTTGTTGCATATCGCAAGATGCAATTACTCGAGCAATACATGGAAAAGACAAATGACTACCAAGAATCCAATCGACTAGCTAATCTCGAAGCGGACAAATTGGCGCAAGAACAATTTGATGCGCTCCGAGACCAGCTTTCACAAATCAAGAGCTACAAGGCAGACGGCTACATTTGCATATCAAAGAGTAAGCTAAGCTTCATATCATTGCTTACACAGCTAACGATGAACAGACGATCCCACCGCCGTCAAAAACCTCCTCACCCAAACACTGGACATGATCGTCGACGAAAGAGTGCGTCTCTTCTGCGTAGCAGCACAAGTCGTAGACGTCGAACAAAAGATTGACTCGGCGATAACAGAATGCATGCGGCTTGGAACCCACGCGATCCGCACGGCGATGGTACCACTTCCGTTCTCGGGCGTGATAGGAACTCCAACGGTGTCTAGAATCATTTGTGAGCACGTTCTGCAGTGCTTTGGTTTTCCAAAGGCGATGCCCGATGAAGTCGAGGAGATCATGTCGAAGATTGTTATGGGGAATTTGAAGCAGTTTATGACTGTGTCGTTGACTCAGTTCATGGTTATTAGCGGTGCTTCGATTGGACTTGCGGTTGGGACGGTGGGTGTGGGTGCGTTGTTGGGGCTTGCGAGTTGCTTTTTGTCGACTCCACCGACTGCGCGGATGTTGCTGAAGTGTGCTTGTGATATGATTCTCATTCTCGAGCGATCGTTCCGGTACAGTGGTAAGTACGTTTCGACCAAGCAGATTGAGGATGCGGCGAGGCAGTACGTTACCATCAACACGACTACTTTTGGTGGCAAGGAGAAGAAACTGCAGGAGCACGTTCATGAAGAAGTCGACAAGATGATTCCATTGGCGAAAGTGGCAGTCGGCTTCCGCTTCAGCAAGTTGAGGACGGGTTTCGAGCACATCGTGTACAAGAACCGATTCGATCGACCCCCAGAGTACGAAGAGGGTGACCCATTCGCGGACAAAATGGCTGAGCTTGACGGTGGAACCACGTCTATGCCGGTCGAACTGTCGCCAGAGAGTGAAAGACGAGCGGAGATGCCTGGTACGTCAACAGTGTCAGAGCTTCCTGGCACTTCAGCAGCGGCATATCCTGCTGGTGTTATGGAACTGCCTGGCTCGATGCCATCTGAGACGACGCTTGTCGACAGGTCACGTACGCATCAGCAACGACCATCGGAGCTGAGCACTGTGTCGTCGCCAACCTTCACGGTGTCGAGTCCGGCAATGACATCTAGGACGACTTCGACGCCTTTGACCGAGCTGAGTGCGACGCCAAGTATCAAGGAGAACAAGCTGGAGAAAACAAAGAGTGAAGGATCGAATATCTTCTCGAGGGGCTGGAAATCGATGAAGAGGTCGAAGTCGAAGACGACGATGTAGGGCAAGGACTATGGATTCTTCTAGTACTCGAACTTCGAGGAAATAGCCATGGCGGCGGTCGGCAGGATGCGACGTCGATATTGATACCCATATAGCTCTGCTTAATGTCATGAAACTCCTGTGCGACTAGAGTCGTTCTGATCTACGACTCAATGCTGCAGGCTCAGAGTACTTACGTGTTTATAGGTAGCACGACCAAAGGTCGTTTTCCTGAGCCGGCGTTCTCCCCAAGCGTAGTGGGTTCGAAGCAACGATGTTGCTCCTGTCTTCGACCATGTGGGTCTTACAGCGGACTGGACGGCGGTGCATAGGATCCACTGGTACACAATGGAAACAGTCTTTACCATCCTGCTCACCCTAGACACAACCAGCACCAAGATGACCAAGTGGGGAACTGATAACAGTGGTAAATGGGTAGCAGACTTCCGACGCACGTACGACATCCCTACTTTCGATGCAACCGTACTCAATGATGCACTCACCTTAAACCAAGATTTCCGACCCACAGATGCTTTATTGTCCGATGTTCCAATCCAGATGCTACCGGCCCATACCCCTCGAGATTGTAAAATGGTTAACGTTCTAGCTGACAGGTACGCCGACTGCTGAGTAAATAACGCATGGAACACACAAGTAGTACGATGTGATGCTATAGACTCACAGGCAGCTGGTCCACAAGGTTGACCTCCGAGCAACGCTGTGGTGCGAGAACTTTCTTGTTTTCCCAACCGACCGTACTACCAAAGCATGATATATCTAATAACCACAATTTTGAGCATAAATCACCTGTTCAGCATCAGCGACAGATGACTACGAATCTGAGGACAGATGGCCGAGTTGGTTATGGCGTGAGGTTAAGGTCTACCTTAACATGTTGGCAACAATAGTTCCTCATGGGATTTTCCCGCCTGGGTTCGAGTCCCAGTCTGTTCAAAAATTCATTTTTGCTTGTTTCGAAGAGCTGGACTCAATCTTGCAGATTTTGGAGTCCACTTTTTGGAGACGGAGAATGTGTGCTGCGTTTGTCGTGCCAAGATGGACTTGAATAGCAGCAGCAGCGGAGTGGAAAGTGGAGCGACCTCGATGCAAGTCCGGCTTACCAAATCCTTCGCGGTCTTGCTGCGACAAGTACTTTTTGCGTGGATTTAAGGTCTGAAGCAATATCTATGCGCCGATAGAGCAGTCAAATGCGGTCAGTCAGGTGCACCGACTTGAATGGTATTGAGCATCTCCAACAGCCTGCCCCGAGCTATATGTGATACACATGGCTGTGGTCTTGTACCCTCGATTCTTCCTTTCCATGTCTTCTTTCTACTGCGTTTGATTCTATACATGCCACTCTAAATGCAGTACCATTCACCATCGGCCAGCCTGTCCTCAACCGCTACGAATAGCAGCTCCCTCTATGCCTTCCTCCTAGTATTAGCAAGTGATGACCTGTTGATCATCCGGGGAGGCCTGGTCGAGCACAAGGGGCAACCCCGTGGCCTGCAGTCTGCCACAACTGACTCGAATGCCAGGAACTGCGTCCGCGGTGACACAGATCGACTGACCAGTAGCTCAAATCACTTGCTTGATGAAGCGCCTTGAGCCTCATTGCTGGTCTCGAATTTTTGAGCAGAGTCAACGGGAGTACTCGTTTCACGCACGGTTTCCAAGTTACTGGATCGTAACTCAAAACTTCCAGCTTATCTCGCGATCTCTGTCTTGACCCACTTCTCCAAACCGCCCTTCGCAATAATCTCTTGCACATTCGGCGGCAACTCACCCACCTTCTCCGTCCATGTCTTTCCACCTTTGCCCTCAGTAACCTGAATCTGACTCTTTTTCACATCCCAGACTAACTTCCACCCCGTCCGTCTACTCAGCTGCTTCTCTGCTGGTGCAGTCGGACCAGGAACAGTCGAGTCGAGACTCTGCTGACCCTCGCTGTTGCCGAACGGCTCTGTGATCTCGTGTGTTGGCTCTTTTGGTGTTCCGCTGAAGGTCTCTCGAAGGCGCTTGATTAGTTTCGGCACCTCGAGGCCCATGAGTGCGTTGTTGATGCTGTTTCGGCTGAAGATGTTGCCGAAGCTTCCGGCCACGACGAGCGGGATCTGCTTAGCGAGGATAGCGGTGGCGGCTTGCTCTCGTGATGATCCACAGCCGAAGTTGAAGCCGGAGACAAGGATATCGCCTGATTTTGCCATGGACGAGAACTTAGGATCGTAATTCTCCATGCAGACTTCTGCCAATTTTTCGACAGGGACGTTATCTTGGTAGGTGTATTTGCCTGGGTAGATACCGTCTGTATTGATGTTATCCGCGTCGCAGAAGACAATTTCACCTTCGACTCGTTCTGGGAAGCCAGGGTAGACTTCTGTCGCTGCTGAAGAGGTCGATTCTTCCGCTTCTGATTCTGCTTCGCCAAAATCTTTCTCGGCTGACTCGATCATGCTGTCAAGCTGGCCAATAATCTTGTCAAGAGCTTCGTCAGCGGATATCATCCGTTCCTCCTCGGCGATACCATCTCCCTCGCCCTTGACAACACCAGTCCAACCTTCAGGCTTTTCGTACCAGCCTGGACCGCTGAGCTTGCCGTTCAGCGCACTTGCTGCGACGACTTCGGGACTGGCGAGGTATGCTTTGGCGTCTGTGCTGCCCATTCGACCTTTGAAGTTTCGGTTTGTGGCGCTGACACCGACTTCGCCGGGCTCGAGGAGACCTGTGCCGAGTCCGATACACGGTCCGCAGCCGGCCGGTAACGGTTGAGCTCCCGCATCGAGTAAAGCCTGCCAATCACCTGCATCTTCGGCGATTTGTTGTTCTGGTATTGAAGCTGCCGCAATATAGAATTTCACACCATCAGCAATCTTCGGGACATTGCCGCCGGTCTTTTCTGCTGCATCCTTGAACACCTTGGCTGCCGCTGCCAGATCTGAAGCTCTTGAGTTTGTGCATGAAACGAGATATGCTTTGTCGACCTTGATGTTCTGAGCTTCCAAGTCGACAAGAGGGGTCGCCACCTTGACGGAGTTAGGGCCAGAGACGTATGGTGACAGTGTGTTCAGGTCCAGGTATAGCTGCTTAGCATATTTTGCGCCCTTGTCTGCGACCAAGTTGTCCTCGAATAGCTCATCAATGCGAGCATGTGTGAAACGCGCATTGCCTGACCGGCCTTCGGAACTGTCGAGCGCAGCCATTGTTGCCTTGGACCGGAGCCATCCTTCCAGTAAACCATCTCTTGGGAACAGGCCACTTAGCGCACCCCATTCTGTAGTCATATTTGCGATGGTAAGTCTCGAATCGATTGGCAGACCGCGCATTGTCTCTTCTGAGCCAGTAAATTCGATGGCATGGTTCAATACATCGTCCTTGTCGAATAGGCCACAAAGCGCAACTATCACATCCTTTCCTGTCACTCCAGCCGGTAATGTACCCTTCAGCACGACGTTTGCGACAGGTGGAATCTGCCACCATGTTCGACCAGTAGCCCAAATGCTAGCAGCGTCCGTCCGCACGACCGGAGTTCCCAAACAACCAATACCGCCATACATGTTGGTATGCGAGTCGCTAGCCACCACAAGTGTTCCTGGCCATGCATAGCCCTCTTCAACCATGATCTGATGCCCGATACCTCTTCCAGCAGGGTAGAAATCTACACCTTGCTTCTGCGCAAACTCTTCTATTTGCCGATACTTGGTAAGGTTCTTCTCTGATTTATTCTGAACATCGTGGTCGAGTGTCATGACAACCTGTTTTGAATCATTGACTTTAGTCGCTCCTATTGACATGAATTTGAGGGCAACAGGCCATGAGTTGTCGTGGGTCATGCAGTGGTGTGGTGCGATGGTAACATAGTCGCCTGATCTGACGAACTTTCCTTCACCGAGGCCCACGGCATATTTCTGCACTATTTTCTCGGTCAGGGTTTGAGGCACTGGAGGTGAGGTCTTGAGGGAGTTGAGGATAGATGCCGAGGATGGGTCTTCAAGCTGGGAGTGGAACGCTTCGGGCACCGCTGACTTTGGTAATGAGGTAGTCAGTGTCCTTCGGCTATTGTGTTGCTCGAGGGCTATCGGAGTGAGTGATCTTATAGAACGAGTCGAAATGCATCTCGGGGCGAGCATTGATCTCACGCGCAAGCTGCGGAGGACAAATCGAGATGAAGAAGCCATGGTAATTGTCGTGGTTGCCCCTCAGATATACACCATATGGCCCTCCTGCCTCTCCCAGATAGATACCACAAGATTGATGCAAAAGCTATGAACCAGACGGAAAGAACGACTCTTGAACAAAATTATTGAAACCGCAAGCACGCGTAAGGAATCTGGCCAATTGTATTGAAGGCATTTTGACCGGCAGCCATGCCGCAAATCCCGACCTCGGCTGGCTGTAACGCCTGGCGCAGCAGATTTTGAGGCATTAATGTAACTCCGTGTAGTTGGCCATGGATCATCATCGTCGAGGTCTCAGGTTCGTGAGCTTGTTGCCATGTTCATCTATCGAACAGACAGTCTGGGAGTAATACACCAGCTGGCAGAAGTGGCTGGTGTTATCTGAAGCTGTCGCATCAATTCAAAGACCTTCGGGAACATTTCTCAGCAAAACAACGATGCCCGTGGATCTCGAACTGGCGTTCAGCTACCTCGACAATCGCTCTGAGCTTTCATCAACTTACTTCATAGGTCACCTACCATGAACGCAAGAGCCTGGTGAAGCAGGCAGGAGTATTGTGATCACGTCTGCTGCTAGGTCGTGAGGAAATGTCGCTGTGAGATGACAAGCTTGACATGGGTGATGCTGATGCCAAATCATCAGTGGCGTCTGTACTCCGAGATGCCGTAAACATGAAAGCCAGAAATACTCAGGCTGTAAGGCTGCAACATCTAGGCATACAGATCTGCACCTAATTACGGAAGCTTGCGCCTCTTGAGATCCTTCTCGTTTTGCTTTCTCGCTTGTTCCTGGCCGCCATCAACAGGACATGTTTCATATCTTCACATCCTGTTGTCCGCAGATTCGGCCAGCGCCTGTCGAGACAGTTTTGCAATCACCGAGCCAAAGATGAAGCTGCTAGATCTTGCTGGGTCTTGTCATTGACAAGACTGGCTCGGCAGCACCGGCAACTGGAGGCTAAGAAGGTATTTTGACCATGGTTCATACGCCGGCTTACGCGGTGCTCCACGATGGCACCTTCCAGTACGAAGCTCGCATGACGCAGCCACCATGACTTCCAGATGCAGATGTCAACGTCAACCACTGCCCAGATACCGGCTCCCGGTGACAAAAGTCGAGCCTGCGCCTCAGTAGTGAACTGGCGTACCATGTCGATCTGCTTATATTCGACTCGTTCGCTTCTCTAACCAACCTAGATATCTCATACTGTTCGTTGCTTGACTTTTTCGTTCACTGACACACAGATCTGCCGTCTCTCGTTCGCACACCCTACGCAGAGTACGAGTCAGAGCATACCATACGATCAACCTATCGACCTACAGACTCATCCTCACGATGAGGACGTCATCACTTGCCCTGGTTGCATCGGCAGCTACCCTCACATCTGCCATCAACCTAGCTCCTCGATCAGAAAACCCTCGAGTCGTTGGCCTCGATATCAGCAAAAGGAATGTCCCAGACCCAGTAGCACACGATCGTCGGAGATTCTCCAAGCGCCAGAACACAGTGCAAGAGACGTTAGATAACGAGTTGACGCTGTACTATGCGGATATCGCACTTGGAACTCCAGCGCAACAGATCCAAGTATCGTTAGATACTGGCAGTTCGGATCTGTGGGTGAATTCAGCTAGCTCGTCGCTATGCAGTGGCCAGCAGAGTCAATGTGAAGGTGGTGTATACGACCAGTCCGCATCATCGTCAGCAAGAACTATAAATAGCGATTTCAACATCTCTTATGTCGATGGATCAGGAGCTGTCGGCGACTATGTCGGAGA